TTTTTGTCAAAATTCAAATATTTATTTTAAAAATGAGTTATCATTTCACATCCACGAGAATGGCTAAAATAATAAGAACAATAAAAAAAGATTCACAATATCAAACATTGGTAAGGGTATAGAGAACTGCAATTTTTATCTTTGCTGGTGGGAATATGAAATGGTACAACTTTGGAAAACTCTTTGGCAATTGACATTTACCTTAAAACCCAGTAATTCTATACCTAGGCCTTTATCCAAGAGAAATAAAGGCTTATAAGTATAAATTATCTTGTATTTTCATAGACTTTATAACCCCAAAGTGGAACTTCTCCAAATAAGCATCAAGAGGAGAATATTATCTCCTGATACATTTATGAAATAGAATAATACTTAGGAACAAGAAACGACTAACACACATAACATGGTGGATGTATCTTAACAGAAATTGACACAAAATTCTACATACTAAATCACTCCATTCATATGAAGGACAACAAGAGGCAAAACCAATGTGTCTTTCTCAAACTGCTATCAAGTTTGATCGTACTCATAGTTCATCCTCCAGTGAGTTTTCAGAGGCAGTAAATCACCTGGCAGGAGACTGTTCATCTTCCTCCTACAGAAAAGCTGGTGGGTTTGATCTGCCTGCCGTAATCACTAGGCCACTGGAACTCCCTGAAGGAGGGAGACAGAAATAAGAGTGTCTGGCTGTGGGATGGAAGGACTTTGACTGGAAAGGGGTAATAAGGGAACGTTCTAGGCTGATGCAAATGTTCTAGAACTCTCTCAGTTGGGGATTTCATGACATCTAAGACTGAACACTTACAATTTATTACTTTATTGCATGTAAATTATAACCCAATTTACAAAAGAAATCCCAGGATAAAAGAACATGTTTATGGACTCATATGTTGAAAATACTAAGGCCTGATGTTCATTTTTCTCTTGAATTTTACCCCAGAAAACAAGGCTTCAATTATCCCCATATTTTAACCCACAATGATGAAAGAGTTATTTATTCCCCATAAATTATTCCCACATTTTAGCTCACGATGATGAAAGAGTAATCCATGACCAAGTGAAGTTCTTTCTCTTAATGGTATGTGTTATAATGGGATTCCAAAGACCAAAATGAATGAAATAAATTTTATCTTAAATGCAACAACATAGGATATGCAAAAATAATTAGCAGCATCAGGCAGAGGGAATGCCATCTGTCTTTTAAAACTTTGGCTGGTAGAAAAAAAGAAGAAAAATTTGGGTATGGATAACTAAACAAATTAGTTTCCACCACTGTCCTCTGTTTATCTGAAAAACTAAATCCTGTGACCACTCATTTTGCCATAAAGCATGCACTCACTGTCTAGTCTTTCCTCTTAGACGATCTACTTCTATAGGCAAGGAGCAGTGTCTCTTGAAACTGATCTTTGTATTTCTAGAAGAATCCTGGCCAAGGCCATGAAAAGAATGGGTCCCCATTTATTACTGCTGCTGTTGTTAAGCTGATTCTGACTCCTAGTGGCCCCATGAGATGAGGCTGACCGGCCCTAGGTCTAGGACTGTACTCATTTTTTCTCTTATAGAGAAACTGGTGGGTTCAAATAACCAACTTTTGATTAGCCACTTTGCACTTAACCATTGTACCATCAGTGTTTTATCATGAATTGTTTGAAAAGTTGAATTAATTAATCTTCGTGTTTACCGATTAGTTGGTATTTATGTCCAAATTACATGTTCTCACAATAATAAATACATTAACACCTCTTCATATAAAATGATTAGAGCAGTGATGAAATAATTTAGTCATTTGTGGGGAAAGAATTTTAAAAACATATTCGATGATATACAAATCCAACTCTTCACAGCATAGAAATAACCACAAATGAATTGCCTGACTAGGTTATTTTAAAAAGATAGAAAAAGTACAATTATTAAAAGTATAGAAAACAGAAAACCCTCACTTAAGGCTAGTTTCAGGCTCTGTGTGAGTATATAAAATAACTATAAAATCAAGCCATCAGGTACAACATGATCATTGTTTGGAGTTGAACATCACATTAATAAGATCAGAAGAGCCTGTAAGCTGAGAAGGAAATTGTTATTCCAGGGACAGAACCTCCGCTAGTGAAAGTCACTCTGCTGGCAGCTGAGAACGCAGAGGATTCTCACTATGAAAATCAGGGTTCGTTAAATCACACATTGTAAGAGCATGTGCAATGCGTTGCAGGCAGCCTTTTCTTCCAAGATTTTCCTGCTGCTTCCTTTCTTAAGTACCAGAGGTTCATGACAGCTAATATAGTTTCCTCGATGTACTAGGAACCTCTTGAATAACACGGGGCTTTCATCAAGAAATCATGTGGCGAGGCATCAAATATGAAAAACTCATTTTAAGCGGGGATACCCACAATCATATTATTTTTTGGAGAGCAGTTCTCTGGCTCCATGGATATCACTTGGACAGAGTAACCATGTTCTTCTGCAGCTCGAGCTCGATCCAGATCCACTAGGCACATGCACTGTTTTCCTGCAACACAGCAAAATGGCACCATAAAACAAAAAACCCCAAAAAGCAAAACCCCCAAACAACCCAAAACTTCAACAAAAAAACAAGCATAACAAAATACTAATAGTTCTTAAAGAGTTTAAGAGAAATTGCACACAAAATACCCCAAACCCTGTGCTGTTAAGTAGATTCCAGCAAAACCTTCCATTAGACTTCCCAGTTAGACGTATCTTAACAAGACCAGACGGCCTCCTCTTTCTCCCATGGAGTGGCTGAGTGGACTCGAACCACTGACCTTTCCATTAGCAGCCAAACTGTGACAAAATGGACACGTATTATGACAATGCTTTCTCCTGTTTGTCTCTTTCAATTTAGTTCTTGATCAATATGGAGATAAGGGAAAGGCAAACATCTGGCATGTTAGATATCTGTTGCTGCTGATAATGGAAAGATTGTTAACCATTTAAAATTTACTTAAAAATCTTAATGAAATAAAATCTACAAATTTTATTTCTCATTTTGGTTAAAAATCCATTTATAGTGTTTTTCTCCGTATTACCCATGTAAAGATAGAATCTGTACTATTACTAGAAAATACTGTTTTTTAAGACTGTTTAAAGTAACATGCTGATAAAGGAGGGATCAGATAGTCTTGCTACACTTTCTACCTGGAGTTTTTTAGGGGAATGAGGAAATAAGAAATGGAAAATATTTGAGAGAAGTTGTTTGTGTGCTGCTCATGTTCAATGTGCTCTTAATTTCCAGGGCTCCTGCATTCCTATAAAATAGTAGTATTCAATTTTCTTCATCATCTCTGGAAAACAAAAGAGGAAACCTGACTGGCAAGCAAAGTGGTTAATTTGCTTTCCTTTGGCAACACCACCTCCTATTTCAAAGGTAACGGAGGAGGAAAATGATTCAGTCCTGATTATATTCAAAGCCATGGTTTGCCTTTACACTCTCAACTGCTTTAAGTTCAACACAAAAACTTCTTCAATCTCTTGGAAAAAATGGTTACTAACTATGCAGAACTCTATTCTATATTTTCCTTATTAATCATAGTAATACCTTATTATTTTTAAACAACTTATGTGAATGAAAGTAGAGTAGCAAACTGATGTTAAATTGGAATGTGAAGACAGCACCGAAGTAGAAAAGTTTGTCTGTGGAAGGCAGTATTCCCAATGGAAAAACAGTGAAGATGAAATCAGTAGGCAAGAGCTGTCAACAACTTCAGATGTAAAGTGCGTATTTTGTATATTTTCCTCAAAAGTATGCCAAAAAGATGAACTGTGTTAGAAAGGATATAAAAAGAGATGTCTAAAATTCAATTTAGGCCAAATTATCTTCTCTTCACCAACAGCTGTATAACTGACATTCTTCTTCCCCTTAACATGCTGTCCTTTGTTTAAGACATCTGTAAAATGTTCCTCGCATCTACTTTTCAATTTTAAAGGAAGCAGTCTCTGTCAGAATGAGATGCTCTACATTCCTCCAGTACCCACCCTAGGTTTACATTACAGCTCATTTGCCCTTGGCTTTGATCCCAGTAAATTTTTCTTTTTCCATGGCGTAGTAGAATCTCATGTTTTTATATGCTGACGAAGTGTCTTTAGAGCTGAAATGCAGTTGTTGGTAGTCTACCTTTGAGAGGCTGGCAAGCTTTCTAAAGACAGTCACAGAATATAGAAATGACCTGTGCAAAATATAGGTAGATGCAGGTATATGATAGACTTTGCTTTAGTCTCATTCCTTGCCCCCCTCCATCTCTGTCAGTGATCATGTCAGATGCTTCTCCTCCTGAATGCCAATACCATTTGTTCCCCCAGCCACTCTCTTCTGGTTTGATGTGGCAAAAAGCTGTACTGCAATCTGAAGGCACATGGTTCAAGGCTACCAGGTTCGAAGGATGGGCAATCTCCTCCCATGTGATTAAGTACCACTGAAAATCTGCCAGAGGGTCTGCTTGTGGGTTGATTCTTACTCTATGGTACACAACAACAACAACAACAACAACAATACGCCCATTCATTACACTTATTATGTCCTCAGTAAGCCCAGTGGAGCTGTATCAAACATACCGTGGTGGTGGCCAAAAGACAGCTTTTTTTCTTTTCTTTCTTTTTTTTTTAAAAGCTATTATAATTAGCTGTCTCTGGTATCCAGCTACCTTAACTGCAGATAAAAGTCTTGCAAATCAGTCTGATCTTGCAAATCAGCAACAGCTGTGGGACTAGGGAAAGAGAAAGCATGCTTCCCACACTGGCCCCTGAGGTGAGCAAAGCAAAATCCTGGTGGTGGACAGACTGTGGTAGTGCTGTGGAGAAACAGTGGCAAAGTGTGACCTGAGGCTTCATGCATTGTGCTGGCCACACTTAAAGGTTTGGTTGTTCTTGCCGGGTGTTTTAAGGAGAAACTAACTTATAATTTCTCTGAGGCAAACCTTACGTGACGATTTGGATTTGACTGCTGAACTGAAACTGGAGCCGAGACTAATTGTGGAATTGTGCTTCGGACTGTTGAGCTAATCTGAATTTGCATTGGTATTCTTTGCGCCACCCATTCTCCAACTTCCTTCCCTAATGAACTCCATTTCTGGCACCATAATTGTGAGTCTGTGAATCAGCAATGGATAAATGAATCTTTGCTGCTGCTGCTGTTGTTCTTGAGGCACCATAGCCTGGGCTATGGGCTCTTTATCTGTTTTCTACTCTGGGAAAGTGAGGGGCTGTGCTTTTCTGACTCCCTCTGGCCTTTTCAAAGAGATGTCATGACCCTGTGCCCTCCTGCCCCATTTTCTCTTCTTTAGACACATAAATTCGATTAAATCAAATAATAAGGATGGCCAAGGGAAAAGAAAAGGTGAAAAAGTCAAAACAAAAAAGCACATTCTCTAAAAACAAACAGGTTCTTTAAGATTATATCCCAGAATGTGAGAAAGGCAATCATGTGTTCCCTTAACCAGGCTGATTGCTCTTGTCTCTTCATGTTGACTGATTTTAAAGTTCAAACACTGTATTTTCATACAGTGTAGTCCCTGAAAATGAGCTAACTACTTCATCTGGTCCTCAGCCAAAGAAACAGCAATCTCTTTTACAGAGAAAATATGCTGTATTGAAAGAAGAAACCGTATGATGTATACCATTGTGGAATTTGTCTTTATTTTTTAAAAAGTAGACAGATATTTATTTTTTGAGAGATTAAGGGATAGAATTTATTTATTAATTTTTTATTGTGATTTGAATGAAATGCTCACAAAGCATACCCATAATGTTTGATTATCTGATTGTATATTGCATGTCCTTTCACTAACTTAGTTTTGACTTAATGATCTTAAATCCTGACTTTAGAACTACACCTGGAGCTGAAGATGTGACTCTGGAGTGCTAGGGGGCAGTCTTGCAAAAGTGGAGAAGAGCTTCTTATCTGTAATGACATAACTAGGGTTCATATTGTACATTGACCATCTACCACTAAAAGAGCTTGAGAAATCTCTTTTGTCTCGGTTCTCTCATCAGGAAAATGTAAAAAACACTATCTCCTATGCTAGTAGTTTTGATAAGAAGTTACTTAAGACAGTTATTGATGATCATGCTTATGTATTACTGTGGTTAGGTGCTGTGGAGCTGTTTATGATTCACAGCGACCCCAAAGGTAAAGTAGACTGGAAACTTGCCGTATTGTATACTGGTCTTAAGCCCACTGTTAGTTACTGGGTCAGTTCATTTTGTTGAAGGTCATCCTTTCTTTCACTGATTCTCTACTTTTCCAAGCATGATGTCTTTTTCCAAGGACTAGACCATTCTAACAATATGCTCAAAGTATGAGAAACGAAATTTTACCATACTTGTCTCTAAAGAGCATCCTGGATATTGTACTTCCTTCAAAATAGATTTGTTTGTTCTTTTGCCAGTCCATGGGTTATTTACTCTTTGCCAACAATATAATTCAAAGGTGTCAATTCTTCAGTCTTATTTATTTTTCAACACTCAGATTAGTACAAAGCAAATGAAAGACATGTGTCAGATGCAACTCAGTCTTTCATTGACAATTTCAATCTTTTCTGTTTAATGTTGCCTATTGGTCCAGTGGTGAGGATTTCTGTTTTCTGATATAGAGATGTAATCCATATTGAAGTTCTTTGAACTTCTGCAGTAAGGGCTTCACGTCTTCTTCACTTAACAGCAAGGAAAGTTGTGTCATCTGCATAATACAAGTTGTTGATGGGTCATCCCCAATCCTCTTCATAAAGTCCAGATTCTCGAATGATTTGCTTAGCATAGAGACTGAATAGGTGTGGGGAAAAGATAAAACCTTGACATGTACCTATACTGATTTTAAACCAGAAGTGTTCCCTAGATGGTATTATTCCTTGAAATGAGATTTTTAAAAAATTAATTCATTAATAAGCTTGCAATGTTTTTATATCTTCCAATTTAGGTAATGTTTAATATTCTAAATGTTAAATAAATTGGTCTGTGATTAATAACATATATTTGTTTCTGAGAAAGAAAATACTCTCCTGCTAATACATATTTCTTTTTAAGTGCATTAATTTTGGCAAGCATCACTGACTTTTCCGTTTTTTATTATTTCTTCTGTGACTCTGGAGAGATTCACCACTTTTCCATAACAGTAAGAAAGATTTAATATCATCACATTATCCAGTGTATAAACAGAAATGTATTGAAAATATTAATAGTAACCACAATGGGTAAAGTGTTGTCACAATTTCAAAGCTCTTTTCAATAAGAACTACACTTTCTGCGAAAAGCAAACTTTAGTTTCTTGCTGATAAATAACCAGTGACTCCCACATAGTCATTCCTAGCTTCATGCCTTGGCATAGTGTGTTTAAGCTTTTCAACAAGTACTCAGGAAAACACATACATACCTATGAGCCTGCGCTGGGGTGGGAGCTGGACAGCTGTCTGATCTGCAAATCGGCACAAAATCATGTGTTCCTGGGTGAAAAAGGACAGAATATGGGCTTATTTCCATCTTCTGCAACAAAGGTACAAACCAAAGATATCCTACCTGTATGTTTCTAGAATACTCTGTTGTTTCATTAAATAAGGTGCTACATAAACATCCATTTCCCTCCAGCTGCTTCTGACTCATGATGTTGTTATGTGCTGTCGAGTTGCCTGTGACTCACAGTGACCCTAAGTACAATAGCCCTAAACCCTGCTCTATCCTGTGACAACCTTATTGTCTCTGACACACCTACCCCCTTTACTCCAGTCACTGAATCAATCCATCTCATCCAGGGTCTTCCTCTCCTGCCCTGTCTCTCCACTCTTCTAAGCATGATCCTCTCCAAGGACCGATCCTCCTTGAAACATGTCCAAAGTATGTCAGACAAAGCTTCAGAATCCTTGACTACAAGGAGCAGCCTGGTCTGACGCTGTAAGACAGAAGAAATCTGCCTCATCAGCGTTTCCAATGCTGTTATGAGACAGGTCCTCCTTTGTACTACATATACCACCAGAGTCCCTTGGTACACAAATAGTACTTTCAAAAGAAACAAACTTTCAGGAAATGGTCCTCGGTATCTTTTCCCCCTCAAGGACACTAGTCTTCAGGTGTAGTTGTTCAGAACTGAAGTATAAAAATCAGAAATGTCATTTGACCAGTTGTTTTTGTTTAAAATATGACATTTTGTATCATATTGTTATATTTTGTGATTATATAAGTTACATGAAATACTTAAAAACCATTTATATCTTTCCTTTAATAGCACTGCTTTCATCTGAGGAATGGGGTTCTAAGAAAACATTCTTTTATACCAGAGGAAAGAGAAAGTTTTATAGATGGTCACTGCTGGTGGCTTCTGTAGCTCTTGGGGACACCCAGCAGTAAGCCAGCCACTCCTTGTTTTTTCTGACTCTTCCTTTCATTGGTTCATTGGCTTTTTTTTTTGGTGGTTGTTGTTATTGTTGTTTTAGGGGATACCGTGAATGTAGTCCTCTGCTACCACAAATTATGCAGTTACCACACCTTTGGGGAAATTGCAGGGGTCAGCACATCTAGAGTGCAATGGATAAGCCTTGCCTGGGAAAACCACCTTTGTGAGCATGGTATCTCCCCTGCCAGGTTGGCTCTTTAGAAGAGGGGACCTTAAACTCTGCATCATTCGCCTCTTATCTTGAAGGGCTACAGGTAGTCTGTTTCTACTTAAGCAGGACATAAGGATTACTTTTTTGCTTAGCAACTTTAGGAAATATTCCATTAATGGAAAAGAAAATGAAAGAGGCCTTTGAGGATGAAGGAACTAATGAATCTGTACAGCACCTTTAAATTTCCAAGTAGCCAACAGTGAGTGTTTAGGCAGAGAACTGAAATGAAAATGGTGCTCCCATAACAACTATTCATTCAGAGCAGCTACTATTTTCAAGTGTGTAAAAATGCTTTCTCCTGCCAGCTCATCACCAAATCTTGAGATTTAGTACACAAATCGCAAACACTCACTGCCATTGAGTCACAACCAACGTGAGTCTCCAAGTAGGTTTCTGGAGGCTGTACATAGCCAACAGGGAAGAATGCTTATCTTTCTCATGTGGAGCTCTAGACAGATTTGAAGTAGGCTGACCTCAGATTAACTGTTTCACCCTGTAGCTGTTTGTACATTAAATTTGAAGTATTCATTTGTTAATAATGTAACCAAAGTGATGTGGCAACAGTTGGGCCTTTTTGAAGGCCTATCTCTCTTAACTTTGCTTATTTTCAAATATACATCATGAAGGCTCACCTTAAAATTTAGGGACAAAGCATAAGAAATGAATAAAAATGGTTTACATGAAGTTACTAAGGTAGTTATTGAGCCCCGCCCAAAATAACTCACATAAACCAGTCAGAAAGCAGTAGAGGAAAAACAGAGAATTCTAAGATTTGAAATATATAATTGCCTTTTGTTTTGGTGGTGCTTGTAGATTAAAATTCACTTAATGTAAAGTTAATAGCAAGGCAATCTAACATAAGGTTTATTTCTCTTGAAATGATAAGACATTGCTGTTGAAGAACCAACTTTATAGAGGTGACTTTCCACTAGATCTCTGAGGCTGTACATTACATGAAAGGAAGGTGGAGACTGCCCATCTTTCTTCTGTGGAGCAGCTGATGGATTTGAACTGCCAGAGAAGCCTGGTCTTTTTATTAGCAAAGCAACTCCCTAAAGACTACTCTACCAGAGCTCCCTCTTATACTGTTAAGTCTTACCACATATTACTGGTATTATTTACATGAGTCTTCTTTGATAGAACTTAAGTTTTAAAAACAGTAGGTACTTAGGAAAAGATTGCTGGCTAAACTGAATTAGGGATAAAAGCATTTCCAATGTGACTGTCAAAGTATGTTAGTATTAAATCTACTTAGTTCAGAAGATTGCTATGCATTTGAGATCGGGACAATGAATGAGGATGACAGAAGAAGAATCGATGCCTCGACTCAACTGCACTCTGTTGTTAACAATAACAATAACCACAAGATAGGCAATCTGCTCCCATGTGTCTTACTGCCTCTGAAAAATGTGCTAGAAGGTCGGCTATAAGATGGAGTTATGGTGCTGGGGAAAAGAACTGAATGTCCCATGGACTGCAAAAAATAATGAACAGACATGTCTTGGAGAAATTACATCCAGAGTCCTCCTCTGAGGCAAAGATGATGAACATCTGTATCACATCCTTTGGACATGTTGCTAGGAAAGGCTATTCCTTGGAAAGGGACATCATGCTTGGAAAGATGGAAGGTCAGTAAAAGAGAGGAAGCCCTTCATGCAGAGAGATTGACATGGTGACTAATGAAAATGGGCTCAAGTACTGAGAGCTGATGAGGATGGCGCATGAGAGGACAGGGTTTAGATCTGTTGTTCATAAAGTTATTATGAGTCATACTCAACTCAACTGCACTCTATTGTTAACAATAACAACAATAACCACAAGATAGGTAATCTGCTCCTATGTGTCTCACTGCCTCTGAAAATCTGCTAGAAAGTTGGCTATAAGTTGGCTATGACTTGATGATGCACAGTAAGAACAGAAACAACTAACACATCTCTTTTGGTTGAGTTCAGAAATAATGCGGTATCACTGCACCACAGTATCGCAGAAACTAGGACTTCTCTATAAAGCATAGATACGTGAGCGCCCCCAGAAGGCTGGTGGAAAAAGCAACTTTGGGGCTTGTAGCAGAAAGAGCAGGTAAAGATGATGGACTGGAGAGACAGAATTTGTGCTATTTGGAATTGGGTGCTGTGGCTCTGTTTGCTTTACAGGAATTTCACATGATTTTCAGGACAGCAGCAAGACTACATCTCCTGTAGCGCTACGCCATCTCCTCTCACCACGCTACATTTATCCCATGTGTCTTCTTAGGGTTTGATTTATTTAACATCTCTCTAGGTTTTTTAATTTTTTCCCCCTCTCCTTTCTCAGAGTTCATCTTCCCTTTTATTGATAAGGTCTTGTGATAGTTATTTAATTCTATGAAAATACTCTCATTGTTTCTTACAAAACTTAGTTGTTGTTTTTGTTGTTATATGCCATCCAGTCACCTGAGACTTATAGCGACCTTTGCACAATAGCTCTGAACTCTGTCCTATCCTGAGCCGATCTCACTGTCTCTGACACACCAGCCCCTATAACTTTGGTCACTGTGTTAATCCACCTCATTGAGGGTCTTCTTCTCTGGAAAAGGCAAGAAATTCTCGAGCTCTGGATGAAAGCAGATACCCTGAAGTTTCTCTCCTCTTTAAAGATGTCACATATTGTACAGGTAAAGGGGTAAATGGAGAGTGAGATGGGAGACAGAGTTGGTAGTAGGAGTTTAAAAGCAATGAAGCCGAGATGGTAGACATGAACATTTTTAGGTCCCTGTGCCTAAAAATTGGATCCTGAAGGAGGTAGAAACTCTAGAAGGGAGGGAATAGTATGTAAAATGAGACTATATGGTTTTAGAGATTTTCTACAATGAGTATAATTAGCTGAATTAAGAATCCAAACTGTTTCAACTATGAATGGAATGATTTTATCTTTCTCTCAAATATTTCTAAAACTGCATTATGCCATGTTATTGATCAATTAATTAGTCAGTGGTGGTGCTGAGAAAGCTGGAAATTGTTTTACTTAGATCAGTGACTCAGAATTGTCCACTGTAACGCTCTGACTACTTTCTCTCTTCCAGGACATCTTGTGTTTCTTTGCTTTGTGACCAGGGGCACTAATTCCCCTTGTTCAGAACAGGTATCAACAAACTATCACCCATAGATTTTAACTGAGTTATGACCTGTTTTGTATGACTCGTGAATTAAGAATGCGTTTTACATTTTTAAAGGGCTGTAAAATACCACAAAAAACAACGGTGGCAACAGACAATGAAAATAATATGTAAAAGGAAAAGCTAAAACATTTACTCTCTGGCCTTTTATAGACATGTCTGGGCTTGTTCCACATGATCTTTTAACAGGATGTTTTATAGAAGAAAAAAAAAAATAAACGTTACAACTTTTCCTGAGAGTAAAGGGCAGCATGGTCACGGCCCATTAGAATAGATTCTCGTTTCCTCACTGCCTTCTTCATGAAATGAAACTCTCTGTGTGTATAGGTGTCACCTTGTTATTTTTTTGTGTTGCCCTGTGGGAACTGGGCCTCAAGGAGCCAGTACAAAAACGAGGATGCTCTTACTACTGCTACTGCCACAAGCAATAAACTGTGACTTATCTCTGATTCAAGAGTTTCGTTATCTTCTGCCAGCATATCTGTGACAAGCTGGCAGGCTGACAGTTACCTTGCAAGTGGGGCTAAACCTCAGATCTTTGATAATTCTATTTTAAGAATTAGCATGCTTTTTTGAAAAATGCCATACTAGAAGCTAATGAGAGGGCTCTGGTGGTCTAGTGGGTAAGAAGCTATGTTTCCAACTGAGAGGCACATGGTTTGAATCCACCAGCCTGCTCCATGGAAGAGGGCAAACTCCTTCCTTGTCATTTACAGCCTCTGAAACCCACTGGAGGGTCAGCTATGAGTCAATTCTGAATTAACAGCACACAATAACCACAACAACAGTTGCTAAGAAGAAATGAAAATAGAATTACTGCTTAATTTGACATTTAAAAGGGGGATTAAAAAATGATAAAAATAAAAAAATGATAAAAAAATATTTGTATATAAGAAAGACATTTAGATCTTTATGATACCTTGTAAGATAGAGTTTCTTTGAACTGCTCACTGAAATAAACAACAAACAGAATTAGTTATAATTTAAAAAACCAAATATTGAATAGAAAAATATAATTATAAACAAAAGCCTGTATTTTACCTGAAGAATCAAAAATTCTACTCCAAAGTAAAAATTATATCAGTTAGGAATGTCTTTTTAAAAAGACAAAGGCATACTAATCTCAAGTTATTAATTTTAAAGAATTTCTTTCTCACATTGCATATACAGTTACAGAACCACAAATGCAACCTTCTTCTTCTCTTTATCTTTTTTCCAAGGGTGCACCATCAAACTAAACCAAGGCATTTGACTAATAACAACCTAGGGCTAACATTGAGAAGAATAAGAATACCAGAACATCTTCGTTTGTTTCTGTGAAACCTATGCATAGACCAAGAAGCTGTTACCCAAACTAAATAATGGTATCTCTCTTATTCTGGGCTGTTGTCATATGTAATGAATGATATTTTTTTTTTTAAAGTGAACTGGGGAAGGGGGGAAAAGGTGAGGGGGCACAACGTGCAACAATGAATGAATGAAAATCTAACTTCCCTGTAAATGTTCATTAAAAAAAAAAAAAAAAAAAAGCAAAAAATTCCAAACCAAACCAAACCCTTGCCAGGACAGATTACGGTTAATGGCAACGCTCTGTCATGTTTCTGAGGTAGTAATCTTAATGGGGGCAAATTGCCATTTTTTTTTCTCCTGTGGAACAGTTGGTAGAATTGAACCACTAACCCTTTCAATTAACAGTGCAACACATTACATAATTAAGGTTCCTTCATGATGACAAAGATATGTCTATTTTTTTTAATGTTCACTCTAGGCTTTTAGTTCATGAAACACATGTACCAAAACATGAGATGCTACTTAGATTGCTATCAGCACCAATTAGTGTGAAATTAATACTTAATTATCACTATTCTAGAAACAGCATAGTATTTGAAATTTCTCTGTTTCTTTAGTGCTTGGACAACTAAAGAGAAAAAAAAACATATAAACATAATTTCTAAGATTCAGAGTAAACCAGCAAATCTACAAAGATGCGAAAAAAAAAAGCTGGCACTAAAAACTGAGAATGTTCTATCATTTTGAGGTTTCAGATTGAAGATGTCGATTTAACAGTCTTATGATTCTTTATGTTGCAAGGGCATAATTATCCTGATGGGTTAGGGAAATATACATTTTATTAGTTTAGATATAAAAAACTAAAACTGGGGGGGAGGGCTGGGCAGGGAGAGAATTGTGGCAATGAATGAATGGAAATCCAAAATCTCTGTAAATGTTCATTAAAATTATTAAAATAAAAAAAGACAAAAGATTCTATAAAACTAATGGTTGAAGAAGCTTCAAATTGTATTTCATTCTTTGCTTTTCAAGAACACTTTTGGTTTTCATTCAAGTAGTTGCAAGTGGTGGGAAAGAACAAAACAAAAAGCGGAAGTAACCATCATTGTACTTTCTGACTTTGAACCATTTATAGAAGTGGAAATACGCTTAAAAGTAATGATGCAATGGACCAACACATTTCTTTTTACACACTTTAGATTTTAGGAAAATCATATTTCAATCTACAATTAAAATGATTATCATGATTCTCAGTAAATATTAAAGAGAAAAATCATCAACAGCAGCTAGGTTAGGGGTGAGAAGTTAAATATCTCCCCTTTCTACATGATCTATGAAGAGATATAAACATGACCCACTGGCAGTATTCAAAATACTACTGTATGCCTGTGACTAGCAGAGCTCACAATTACAAAATGGTACTTCTACATGACTTCTAAGTCCTTTGTCCTATCATGAAATTCTCTAAGAATCTCAAGGTAGTTGCTATTATAATCTTCATTTCTGTAGAAGAGAAAATGTAGGTCAAAAGAGTTTAAGTCATTTGCCTGAGGTAAAACAGCTTTGGAGACAACAGCTGGATTTAGGAGAAAAGTTAAGGATGAACATAGAAGAGACCCTCTTTTCTGCTCACAAATAGTACTTGCCACTTACAAACAATATAAACTTACAAACAGTACTTGCCACTGTGGAAAGATAAAACAAGTAAAAAACAATAGACATGAGTTTAAGTAGTGTCATAGGTAGGACACTCAATTTCCATTTCACCTTTTTGGAAAATTAAACTTTGATGTATTCTGAATGAAACCATAACAGCAAGGGCATGTGACAAAGGAAGCTCGCATTTTGATGCAGTGTTCAATCACCATGTCTGTTGCCACTCCACAAGCATGCAACGCCACCTGGAAAACAAAACCAGATCTTAGAGATAGTTCTTAACAGTTCTATCAATCCCTCTTTTAAAAAGCATTTTGTGAAAACCGATCAAGTTATCAGAGTAAAGAGTAATAGTCTAGAATACTTGGATGTACAAAGAACAACATAGCTATTCCTATTTAGAAATTAATTAGGGTTGAGAGATTATAAATGAAAAAATGAAAGTATAACAATCATTCAACAGGTAATCTGAGCTCTTAAAGGCTCAGTATCTCCCTACTATTACTGTTGACCTTATAGATCTCTCTATTGTTTGGTTTTATTGTATGGATTGAGGCTCAATGTCAAGAAGACAAAGATTCTCACCACTGGACCAATTGGCAACATCAGGATAGATGGTGAAGAGATTGAGATTGAACACAACTTTAGTTTGCTTGGCTCCACAGTCAACACTCTTGGCACCAGTAGCCAGGAAATGAAAAGGCGCATTGCCATGGGACAGTCTACTGTTAGGGACCTCTCCAAAGTACTGAAGAGCAATGGTGTCTCTCTGGAGACTAAGGTGCGTTTGATACAGGCCATGGTCTTCGCAATCACTTGTTATGCATCAGAGAGTTGGACAATGACCAAAGAGGATAGAAGGAGAATTGATGCCTTTGAGTTGTGGTGCTGGAGAAGAGTATTGAGAATACCATGGACTGCTAGGAAAACAAACAGATTCGTCCTGGAAAGGGTTAAACCGGGTGGCTCCTTGGGGGTAAGGATTCTGAGGCTCCACCTGACATACTTTGGTCATGTTGTGAGGAGAGACCGGTCCTTGGAGAAGGACATCATGCTTGGGGGGGTGGAGGGACAGCACAGGAGGGGAAGGCCCTCTATGAGGTGGATTGATTCAGTGACTGGGATAATCGGGACGGGAGTGTCGGAGACAGTGCGATTGGCACAGGACAGAGCAGAGTTTAGGGCTGTTGTACATAGGGTCGCTATGAGTCGCAAGGGACTCGACGGCACATAACAACATAACAACAAATTGGTTAAAAGTTGTGCCACAGGGGTTGCAAGAAGTTGTGGTGTCTTGACTGCTGTTTCCATGGGTGGGTGCTGACTTAGAATCCAGGTAGAAAGAAATCCTTGAGTAGCACCATTCTAATGATCCTTGCAAAAGTCAAGGGCATAAATGAAATATAATTGCTGTTCAGATTATATAATTATTAGAGACTTTTGATGTTTTCAGTATGCTTTTAGGCATTTTCTTTCTAATTAAGTGTATTTCTCAAATAGACAACATGTAGATCAGAAACTGCAAAATGACTTTGGAAACACATCCAGTACACTGATCTCAGTTACACAGAGGAAATACAACAGGAGAGGGTATTGGGAGATCTTGGAGAAAAGTCTGAAAAATAGCAAGATTTGCTTCCTCTAGTATGATTTCAAATTAACTAGGTTAAAAATATTAATAAATCTATTCACTTTTGCCTGATACAGGTTTTATGTTAAAACATTAAAACCATTCGTATTTCAGCTCAAATATATTATTTATTTTAAGTTTCTAAAGATGGCTACAAGAGTTTAAAATTCTCTCCTTAAAATGAAATCCAAAGTCTCTGTAAATTTTCGTTAAAATTAATAATAATAAAATGTTATTCCAATCATTAGTTTTTATAGCTAAGGAAAACAGTAAAAGCAAAAAGCAATAGTAAGTAAAGATAAATGCCAACCAAGCTCTTATTTGAAATATAACAAAATCACTGATTGATTCTGTTTTAATGCATTTCCAATATTTAGTTACTCTGGTTTCCTCTCGAGTTCTGTATTTTCATGGGAATCTATTTAATAAAAGAGTTACCGACACTAATTTATTTAGTGTGATTTATGTAGTGATAATACCTCAATTACCCTTCTAGGCAAATTGTTTGTTTGCTTGAGAATAAATCTAATTTTGGCTTAACCCTGTATGTAAGTTTATTTCTTTTTCTATATACCTTGACAAATTAAAAGAAAACATAGTAAAAATTATAGATGTATTAACATGGAAGTACAGAAATATATGACTTCCTAAAAGACAATTAATGCTTAGTTGGTGTTAGTGAATTAAGATCCAGAAGTTACAAAAATACTACAAAGTGATTCAACACTGAGAAACCCTGGAAAAGCAGAGGTATGGCTATGTTGTTAGGCACGACCAAAATGAGTACAACTCATAGGAACCCTATGAACACCAGGTCTGAACCATGTCCTGTCCTGTGCCAACTTTACAATCTCTGACACATCTGAGCCCATTATTGCAGTCACTATGTTAATCCATCTGGTCGAGGATCTTCCTCTCCTTTGTCATCATTCCACACAGCCAAGCATGATGTCCTTCTCCCAGGAGTAGCCTCTCCTAGGTAAAAAAGACCACTCTTATTTAGTCTATGGCATATACTTTTTCAAGTGAATTTAAAATTGAGTACTTACCCCAATATTAAACATCCCTGTGAAATACTCCATATTTGCTTGAATGAACCAAATGTTGCTCAAACCTAATTCATCACTTCTCTTCTTAGCACGAACTAAAGATAATTCCTTGTTTTCTATAAGTGTAACCTAGATACCATGCAGGAAAGAACAGCATATTAAGCAACATGATTCAGAAATTAGGGCCACATATTATCACTGTATTTCATACCTTAAATAGTATAGAAAATATTATATTGATTCTCTATCCTGTGCAAAGAATATGCCACATTATGGGTCCAAAAGTAAACAAGGTTCCTGAACTATTGAGGTTTATATTACAGTCAGGCAGAAGTGAAACAGGCAATTATAATCCAGTGTGACAAAAGCTACAATAATAGACAAATTATGGACAATGGGAGTACTCAGACCTGAGGAGTAATGAAGCTTTTCTTGGGAATATAGCATATTAATTGATGCCTGAAAAGGAATAGAAATTAGCTGGATGGATGGAGTAGTATTTCAGGCAAAGAAAGAAATACATTTGTAGGACCCAAGTGAGAAAAAGTGTGTTTCATGAACTGAGAAATTGGTACAGCTGGGACACAGCAGGTGTAAAGTGAATGAGGGGATAAAGTGTGAAGAGTAAAAATGAGCTTCGAGACATGAAATGGAAGTCAGATCATTTGTGCTGAAGTAAAGACTGCAATGTCAAGATTGGTGGGGCAAGGCAGAAGGGAGGGTGATCAGGGAGGCTCACAGCACAGCAGAGACGGGATGGCGCAGGCTCGGTAGGATTTCATGCCATCATACAAAGGGCCACTCTAAATTGGAGCGGACTAGACAGCACCTAACAACAATCCCACCAACTGTAATCCTGAGAACTCTGACAAAATCTGAGAGAAAGGACACAAGTGGGAAGATTTAGTAACTTCTGTCACTATCATTCCTAGCTCTACATTTATTTAATGGTCCTTATATTTGAGAACAATTATTATATTCCTTTGTATAAAATCCGTCAGAGTGATTACTGGTGTTATCACTTTGCAGCCTTTCTGCTAGTCTAACTTGACGGCACCCAGTGCCATAGGATCAGTTCTAACGCTTGGTGGCTCACTGTCAGTCAGGCTTCCAAGGCTGCAAATCTTTATGAGAAGAGAGTGCATATTTTTCTCCTGTGCAGTGGTTGGTGGATTATAGCCACTGAACCTTAGTAGACAACATGTAATGTACTACACAGCCTCTCTGAAGTTCCAGAGAACTGTTAGAAAGAGTGCTGTATCTCCTCCTCTTTCTTTTTGTCCACAGTGCCCTTCTGGTCTGGCCAATTTGTGAATTACATGTTTTCTTTCAGCTGTTAAATAAAGAATTATTTCTTCCATTCCATAAAGTTCCCAGACAAAGAATATGTCTGAGTGGAATTTATATTAAAACAAAAAAGAAAGGAGAAGATATTTCTTTTTATCTAAAAAATAGTTGCAGATTTTATGTTAAAAACACACTGTGAAGAACTGATTTAGTAAAGCAGAGGGCTAAAAATAGCATCAAAGACAATGATTGAATCATACAGTGAAAAATACTATGACATTGTGTCACCATTAAGCTGGAAACGACCCATAGCTGACCTCCTGCTGGGTTTTCAGAGGCAGTAAATCACATGGGAGGAGACTGCCCATCCTTCTCCCATGGAGCAGCTGGTGGATTCGAACTGTGTGCCTTTGGGATTGCAGCACAGCTTCTTATCACTAGGCCACCAGAGCTTTCTAGTTATTAAAAATTATATGAAAATGTATTAGCAATAGGCAAAACATTTATAAGATTGAATGGAAACATGCAGCTAAGATTTTATTTGTATTTTTAGCATCTGCAACAATATGCATCCACAGGGAAAATGACATGGGAGAGCATGCAGAGAAAAGCACTTGATAGATCAGAGTGGTAGAATGTGGGTTTTCATTTTATTCTTAAAAATTTTTATATTGTCATAATTTTTTATGCAATGAGCAGAAAATACATACTAAAAAAGTTGCTCAGAGAAGCTATTATGACTTGTATAAAAACTGTGCTGAAAAGGAGTTTAATTAAGATTTTTAAAATCCTAATTATATTATTTAACAATAGAATAGTAATTTCTTTTGTATTCATTTTAAAATACAATCTTTTTAAAAAATAAATTAAAAATGCATTTTGGTCCTATTTTACTTTTTCTTCTTAAGATTCTAAATCTTAGAAGTAGACTTCAAAGAAAAATGAAAGTGCCTGACCCACATACTTAACCTGGGTGGGTGATTATAAACTCAAAGAGCAAGGTCTGAGCCAGCCTTGGCAAGCTGAATTGTGTAGTTTTCCAACGTTTCCCTTTATCTATTATTCCAACTCTACCTGGCATGATGGCAACACGTGGGCAAGCACAATTCCAACATGGCCCTGAAAAAAAAAAAAACGGAAAAGGGAACAAGTTAATGGTATGCCCTACAGGCTTTGCTTATTCTGAGACAACAATCTTGCCAAATAAACACACAACCTTGAATATAATAAAGGATGCAGTGTTTAAAAGGTATAATGAAATGATTGATGTAGTACCCCGCCACTGCAGAAATCCACAATTCTGTCACCAGGTCTTGCTTGATTTGTCACCATGTAAACAAGGTTATTTAACTGCTGTTGCTTCCTCAGTGCTCGATCGCTGGACATTTTCCCTGGAGGTAACAAAAGTGGAAGAAAATGAAACATCTTACGAGGTTCATAGAAGACACATTTAGAATTGACAACCAGCATAAAAGAGAAGGGGTAAATAAATATGCATGTGAAAACATAAATTACAAAGCCCAGATAATAGAGCATGAGAGCACTGGAGGATGGGAACACTGTGATGAACTCTGTTTCTACTCATTTTACTCCGATTCCTACCTAACATTTTCTTTTAATGGTCACTTCTTTATACTTTCAATGGCTATTGAAAGAAGAAATATGCCTTTTAAAGAAGCGAAACAATAGGCAAAACATTAAATTCAGAGTTGTAAACAAAGTATATGTCCAATAAATATTTGTTGGATAAATGAATAAAATGAAAGATAATATGCATAGTTCATCCCTACAGGCCACTCAGAGATACACTGTAAAAATGATCTAACTTTAGCACAACGCTTAAATCTTCTTAGGGAAAAGAGATCTCGGATAAATAAAAACACTTATTACTTAAGTGACATATCCTTGAAATCATAAATTCTTCCAGTTAGGACACACAGAAGCCTTAGAACATAAGTGTCACCCTGTTAGAAATACATCAATGGTTATTGTCTCTAGGGAGAAATTGGATTTTCCTTTTTCTGCTTTGAAGCTTCCTTTCCTCATGAGTCACACATAGAAATTTAAAGCAATTAGAGATTAAAGATAGGGCATTTCCAAGTATGAAATGCCTTGGGCCCACAGCATGAAAACATCTTAACTTTCCTTTCAATAGCCACTAGACAAATCCACAAAAATATCTTCAGAAGAAGGAAGTTGCTTGTTTTTGCATATTTCACATGTGCTTTTAACAAGAGTCACATGAAGAAAATTTAGCTGATTTCAGTGATATAGATAAAAGGGAAAACCTAGATAATCTTTTTTACTCATTAAAAATTATTTAAAGACAATAAGATTTCTTAGGTCCATTTGCTTAGGTAAAATAGTGGATGTTTCCCCTTCTACTTTCTGCTTTTCTATCTTTCTTCTTTTATTAAATTGAAATAAAACAACTTAAGAAAAATTTACATTGGAGGAAAAATTGAAAATGTGCATGAAAAGATTCATGTGAGGGGAAAACGTATAATCTCTCATAATTCAGAGCTATACTTTAAAATACACATAGTACCCACAGGCAACAGTAATATTTATACTTGGTATTTTTCTATCCAGAATATAAAAAATGATAGTGGCCTAGATCAGGTACACCTTAGTCTCTAGATGACACTGTTCTTTAGCACTCTTGAGAGGTTCCTGATAGCAGATTTTCCTAATGTAACTTGTTTTTTGATTTTTTGACTGCTGGGTGCCAAGGGTGATGATTATGGAACCAAGTAAGCTGAAATTGTTAACAATCTCAATCTATTCTCCATCTATCGTGGTGCTGTCAATTGGCCAGTGAAGAGAGTCTTTTTTTTTTGATGTTGAGCTTCAGTCTGTTTTGAAGACCACAGTCTTGACCTTCTGCAACAAGTGCTTTAGGTCCTCCTCAGTTTTGTCAAGTAAGGTTGTGTTATCGGCATAACACAGGTTGTTGATGAATTTTCCTCATCCTGATGTCACACTCCAGGATGAGATGAACTGACAGAATAACTGAGATAATGAGGGTAGGTATGTTGGAAGACATTGAGACTCCTTAAGATAGGGGAGGGTTCAAAGCTATTGTGCATATAGTCACTATGAATCTCATGTAAACTCGAGGACATATATCAACAACAACATGCAAAGAATACATAGCACATCAGTTCATTTAACTCAATGTTTAAGGTGTAATGCTACAGAGTACTCTACTCACTGATTATATATAGCCTCAATTATTTAACTAATTCCTTATTGTTAGCCATATGAGATGGAATGCATAAAATTAATATCCTAGGCATTAAGGAGATAAAGTGGATTGTTATAGGTAATTTCAAGTTAGACAAACAGTAGACTATAAGAATTTAAGAGAAATAGCATTGTATTAATCATCAAAAGGAACATTTAAAATCCATCCTGAAGTACAACACTAACATTATTAGGATAATATCTACACATCTACAAGGTTGTTATTGTTGTTGTTATGTGCCGTCGAGTCATTTGCAACTCATAGCGACCCTATGCACAACAGCCCGAAACCCTGCTCTGTCCTGTGCCAATCGCACTGCCTCTGACACACCCATCCCGATTACCCTAGTCACTGAATCAATCCACCTCCCAGAGGGTCTTCCCCTCCTGCGCCGTCCCTCCACCCTCCCAAGCATGATGTCCCTCTCCAAGGACCTCCTGGCAACATGCCCAAAGTATGTCAGACGAAGCCCCAGAATCCTTGCCTCCAAGGAGTTGCTTGGTTTAATCCTCTCCAGGATGAATCTGTTTGTTTTCTTGGCAGTCCATGGTACATTCAATACTCTTCTCCAGCACCACAGCTCAAAGGCATCAATTCTCCTTCTGTCCTCCCTAGTCATTGTCCAACCCTCTGATGCATAACAAGTGATTGCGAAGACCATGGCCTATATCAGGCGCACCTTAGTCTCCAGAGAGACACCATTGCTCTTGAGTACTTTAGAGAGGTCCCTAACAGCAGACTTTCCCATCGTGATACACTTTTTTATTTCCTGACTGCTGGTGCCGAGAGTGTTGACCATGGAGCAGAGCAAACTGAAGCTGTGAACAATCTCAATCTCTTCGCCATCCATCCTGACACTGCCAGTTGGTCCAGTGGTGAGAATCTTTGTCTTCTTGACATTGAGCCTCAGTCCATACTGAAGGCTGCAGTCCTTGACTGCATGAGGTCCTCCTCAGTTTCAGCAAGCAGGGTTGTGTCATCGGCATGACGCAGATTGCTAATAGATGTTCCACCAATTCTGATGCCACAATTCTCCTCATAGAGCCCAGCCTCCTGGATAATCTCCTCTGCATACATTATTCTACAAGGTAGAATAATAAAATACGATTTCAAGTTTATGCATGAACCACTGAAGCCAAATATGAGAAAACTTAAGATTTTTACCAACTTCTGTAGTCAGAAGTTGTTCAAACATGCAGTTGAGATGCACTGATAACAAACAATGCAGGAGTTCCGTTGGTAGACTTTTGCAAGACCAATGATTTATTCATCGCAAACACAAGAAGTGGCTAGACTACAGTTTCTGAGTGCGTTTAAGAATTTATAGGTAAGACAGAACAAGTGCATAAAGTCCTTCTTTTGCCTTACTTGAGCGGAAAAAAATCTTAAAAAGTTATCAATTATTTAAAAGCTTCATGTACAGCAGAGGGTAACAGAGATGAAGAACTTGCAAGCAGCAGTTGGTTCTGTCATTTCAATGTGAAGGAAACTTTATATAACATTAAAGGGTAAATACAAAGTCCACAAGACTGAAGTTAATAACCCAAGACTACTCACACCTTTCTCCTCCAAGAAGATAAATGACAATAGACTTAAACTTCACCAGATAGAATACAAAGGAATAAAAGCAACTATATCTGTAAAAGAATTGATGAAGAATCATAATCAAATATCAGTCAGAACAAGGTCAGGGGCTGACTTAATTGCTCACATGCAAATTCAAGTTGAAGATGGAGAAAATTAAACCAAGCTCACAAAAGCCAAAGTATGACCTTCAGTATATCCCAGTTGAAGTTAGAAATCATCTCATGAATAGATTGGATGCACTGAGCACCAGATGAGTTGTGGGATGGTATCATGGACATCATACCAGATCATCTCATTAATAGACCTGATGCACTGAACACCAGATGAGTTGTGGGATGATATCACAGACCTCAAACCGAAACAGAGTAAAAGGTCATTAAGAGGGTAGGAAGGAAAGAAAAGACCAACACAGATACTGGAAATTCTGAAGCTTGTTCTTAAACATAGAAGTTAAAGTGAGTGAAAGAAATGATGAATATGTTACCTTTGAACCTGTGTTCTCAGAATTCCGCCCTCAGAAGGCCATTATATTTAGTAAAATGTTAGCAAAAATGTGGAGATTCTTAATAAGATGAATTGACAAAGCAATTACTTTGAGCTCAAAGACAAAAGCAACAATGTATTCAATGATAGAATAATTATGAGAAAAATGCAGTGTTTGTTCTCTTATACCTAGGGTAGCAATGAGTGAGAGTGACTTTACAGAACCTGATCACAGCAACAACAACACACACACGTTATAATCAGCCTTTTCCCCTTAAAATACCTCATGGCTACATATATAGATTTACCACTTCTAATAACAGCATTTGATTGTTTAACTATGTAACTGTATTGACAAATAGTTTAAAAAGATCTTGAGGTTGTTTCTAGTTTTTCCCTTAGAAATGATGCAAAATATGCATCTTTGTATCTATGTCTGAACACGTGTCTGTTTTGTTTTTTTAAAAGAATGAATTACTGGAAGGATTTATTAAGAGTATGCTTAGGTAAAATGTTGATACATATTAATTATTAACAATTTTTTGTTTAAATTGTTGTTGTTATGTTGCCTGAGAACCATAGCAACCTTCTGTACAACAGCTCTGAAGCCTGCCCTGTCCTGAGCCAGCCTCACTTACTCCAACACATCTACCCCTATTGCCCTAGTTATATCAATCTATCTCATCTGAGGTCTTCTTCTCCTTTGCTGTCCTGTCTCTTCACCGTCCTAGCATGATGTCCTTGTGTAAATTAGTATCATTTACATAATACCAGTTTGTATACTCACTAAAAAAAGATTGGTCACTTTCTAGCTTCTATAGCAATAACACCAGTCCACCACCCCCAACATCTTATAACAGCACTGCTCCAACACACAGAAAGTGGAAACAATCTTCACATGGATAACTTTATACTCTTCACTTAATCAGCTATCCAGATGGCCTCGAGTTGATTTTGATTCCTGATATTCTCATATGTGTCAGAACAGAACTGTGTTCTACAGTTTCCAGTGTTTGCTTTTACAGAGGTAAGTCAGCCTTCTAAGAGATGAGTCTGGATGGGTGAATTGAAACT